GACTTTAATTATCTTTGATGAAAGAGAAAGAAAAAAAAGAAAATAGAATGAGAGAGAATAATTTGTAGTGAGAAATAGACATAAAATCACGTCACTTTGTGCTTCAAAATCACTGAAACTCATCCTCGTAAACATAGAGCATTTCTTATTCCACTTCATGCATTTCTTACGCACCATGTGGATTTTCTATTATACCCCTAGTTTCGGAGATATATCTCCGGACGCACTCTTTTTACTTTCAACAAGGTCATTCTGAGTGACACCTCATGATTTGGTAAAGTTTTATTCTGAAGATATATTTCCGAAACGCTTTTAAAAAAACATGGAAATTTCAGTTCAGTAAATGTTCCAGAGATATATCTCCGAAAGATGTGGGCAGAAATTTGAATTTTCTGCCACTTTTGCATACCAGGTTTTCTAGAGATGTATCTCTAGAAAAATCTTATATAGTTTTCAGCTGCATGATCAGTCCCCTATTGTTACCATTCTTCATTTTTAACTCAAACCCTCATCCTAAAAACCTTTCATTCTCAATCCTTTATTTCACTCCAAATCTTCATCCATTTGGTTCAACACATCACAGAGAGCAAAAGAAGATCGAATTTCAGATAAAGTTTGTTCATTTTATCTACATTGCTCACATTAATCATGAAAGTTTGCTGGAAAACTTACGCATTGTCCGGAGGTACATCTCCAGAACGTATGAGCATGAAATTTTTTGAATAAGTATCTCCAAAATGTTTATGTGTTCATATTCTAACCTCTTCTGCAATAGTAGACTAATTAATGTTTTTTCGTTGTTTGTATTGTTTCTAATAGATATGGTGCACCCCGATGATTTTCCAAAACAAGTAGTTTCTCTAAACGATGTGTCTCCGAATGTTCAAGGGGTTATTGTGAAGGTAATTAATATTGGCAACGACTTTAATAACAAGAAAGAGTTTGAAAATCGAGATAGCATGCTCGAATGGATTCCTATGGAGGCATCTAGACTTAGATTTGGTGTAGTTATTGGAAGATTAGATAATGACTTGGATAGAAGAACCACTTTTGTGACTATGTTGTGCGAAAGAAGCAGGAACTATCGAACGTATGTCTGGAATTTAAAGAAAGACGACACATGTAGTAGAAAATGTGACTGTCTGTTTAAGCTTTGCGGTTACATGTTGGCTAACAAAAAATAGAGATTTAATGTCATTTGTGGTTTACATAACCATGAATTTTGCTTAAAATTAGAAGGTCATCCTAGTGTATGTCGGCTCAAGTTAGAACAAAAGAAATGTATTAGTGAGATGACCTTGAACATTGTCCAATCGAAAAATATATTTGCAACATTGAAACGGAAGCAAATCGAAAATATATCAAATATCAAGTAAATGTATAACATTCGGTACCTCACTAACAAGGCGATTATGAGAGATAAAACTGAGATGCAACAACTGTTGAAAGTGTTGGACAATAACAGTTACACGTCCCAGTACTGAACTTACGACGATGGAGTTACGATTAGAGATATTTTTTGGACTCATCCGGATTTGATAAAGTTGTTCAACACGTTTCTGACAGTGCTCATACTTGATTCTACCTACAAGACTAGCAAATATAGACTTCCTTTATTTGAGATGGTTGGTGTTACCTCAACTGAGAAGACATATTTCGTTGGTTTTTCATTTTTAGACTGTGAAAAAAAAGACAATTTTAGTTGGGCATTAGAGGTGCGTCGGTCACTTTTGAAGGATGAAGGTGAGATGCCTAAAGCTATTGTTACCGACCGCGATACCATATTGATGAACGTGGTTGCAAAGGTATTTTCTTCTTCTTATGCATTACTTTGTAAGTATCACATATAAAAGAATGTGAGAAGTCGGGTTAAATCCACGGTAAGGACGAAAAGTTGAGTACGATGGTGGAAAATTAGTGAAGTCGGGTGTGATTGCGGAGAAGATAATGGATGCATGGAATCACATAATAAATTCTTTCATAAAAGAATTATATGTTGATTCCGTCATTCATTTTCGAAAAGTGTGTGAAAAGTATTCGGCTTTGTCGAAATATGTTGAAAGCACCATTCTTGATCAGGTGAAGGAGAAGATAGTTTGCGCGTAAATTGATAATATCCGACACCTTGGAAATACAACCACCAACAGCGCTGAGTCGGTCCATGCTACTTTAAAAAATTGGTTAGCAAATAATTGAGCGGATTTATGTCAAGATTAGGACTCCGTGAATCACGTGATTGAAAACCAACATAATGAGATACAAACAACATTTAGTCGGAGCATAACGGTTTTAGAACATCGATTTAAAGACAACAGTCTTTATCTTCATTTGGTCGACAATATTTCTCGAGCGAGGTTGAACTACATTTTTCACGAGGCTAAACGAGCTAAAAATGTAGGCTCCAATATCGCAAAGTGTGGTTGCACTATTGTGAAAACATATGGCCTCCCATCTGCTTATGTTATTGCTAAAAAGGTAAAACTTGGTGAACCAATAAGAATGGATGAGGTTTGCTCTCATTGGAAGAGACGTAGATTTAATGAAGAAGGATGCATGGATGAAGATAAATCGAATATCTCTATTTTGACCGAGTAGAAAGCGATACAAGAGAGATTTTCGAAAGCTGATGACAACATGAAACTCCACATCAAAGAATAATTAAGAAAGATTGTCTATCCTGAAACCACCGACATGAAACCGCATTTTCAACCGGTAAAAATAAAAGATGCTCCGAAGAAAATGAAGCATACATCAAATGACAACTTGACTACACAATCTCCTTTATATTTTGAACATGTTGACAAACTTTTTCCCGACTCACCGACTCCAAATCTCAAAAAAAAAATGTTGTGAAAGAAACCCGCATTAACAAACCACCTCTGACGCCGCTTCAATTGAAAATTCCATTCATTGATGAGATGTCGATTTTTATGCACAAATATATCGATCGTATTATCAATGTTGAGGGAGACTATAATTGCGGTTACCGAGTCGTTTCGGCTTTACTTGGTAAAGGAGAAGAGAGTCATGCGCGTGTCTCATCAACTTATCTAAGAGTTGAAGACGCATAAAGAATCGTACACACAGTTGTACGGAAATAAAGAAAAATTTGATGTCGCTTATGAGTCTCTTGTTCCTTGCTTGAGCGGTCCGGCACCAGAGTCAAAATGGATGAGTTTCTCGGATATGGGTCACCTAATTGTAAGTGCATATGATAGGGTGTGCATTGACCTGACACGCTACGGATTTCCGAAAACCTTTTTTCCACTGCACACTGCACCACCCCAAATCCAAATGATAGCATCATTTGTATTGGATGACTTTCAAAATTAAGTCATTTTATTCAAGTCTACTTGGAACTGGGATGCCCCATATCTCTTACATCATCGGAGTGGACGGCTCATTCAACCGCAAGTGTCGAGACGTGGCCAGACCATTTTATGGAAAGAATGCAAGAATTCGATAGATTGAACAATATTGAAAAGGAGTCGAATGCACAAAAGTCCAAAGGGTACCACCTAAAGATTTAGCCGGTGACACATGTTTCGATTCGTTTTGATTTCTTGTGTAATCGGACATATAATTGTATATTATTGTGTCTGAATATAAATAAGTGTTACATATTCACTATTTATTCATTTGGTCTTTATGCACATTTAGTTCTGTTTTGAAAATATATCACGAAAAATTTCAGAGGTACATCTCCGAAAAGTTCTATTATTTGCTTTGTTTTTTACTGGTTCAGGGAAAGTTCCGAAGATGCATATCAGGAACAAAATAATAGGGTGTCGTTCCGGAGATATATATTCAGAGAAAAAATGACAGTCAATAAGTGGTCCATATTGAATTAGGTCTTCTATAAATTTAGGTGTTCTTGTGTTATACTTCACACAAATTCAAAATGTCTCAAATGTGCGACATAAACATATGTTGGTATGTCGCAAGTGTCTTCTACTCCGATAGCTCTACATTCGGGAAGACGTCAAATCTCACCGATCTCACCTCCATCGACGATATCATAGACGAAATTCACTATCTCCTACCTTACAGAGACAAACGAAGGGTTGTGAAACTCGAATACCGTTCACCTTTAGTTGACAACGAAAGGAATATTGTGTTCAGCAAATTTGAACTCAAGACTCGAGCGTATGTTATGGCCATGTGGCAAACGTTTTTCGATTTCGAAGAGAAAGTTTTGCTCGAGTTGAAAGCGACACTACAAAAATCAGTCGAAGATATTTTGGAGACGTGCAAGCATCCATTGAGATATTGAAATATAGTATTTAATTTTCTGTTGAAACAATCATTGTACTTCTCATTTTATGTTATGAATACTCATTTTATATTTGTAAAGTTCATTTTGTGTTGAATCAGTGTCTGGTTTTTTTTTCGGAAATATAATGGTCTTCTTTGAACGTAAAAAAGATGCATCCGAAGATATATCTCCGAAAACGGAAAACATAATAGAAAATCAACACGGTGCCTAAGAAATGCATGGGGTAGAAAAAGAAATGCTCTCAAAATATACATGTATCGGAGGTGCACTTACGTCATAAACTTGTGCAGTTTGCTACCAACCCTGCATGCAATCATCATAACTATGTAGAGACTATCTAACTCAATTAGAGAGTTGAATGCAGAAAAGGTGGATAGAGGTAGATTCATGATGTAAAAAATCATAAGTTCTCATTGGGGTAGAGAGATTGATAGAAGAAAATACAAAAGATTTACAATGAAGATGATATATCCTTCAAATTTGCTTATCATGTTTCACTGATGACAAAGTAAAATCAAAGACAATACAAAACATCAAATATTCCATATCATTACTAACCTTTTGCCTTCTAATTGGCACACCAGTGTCAGTGTTACCAAAATTCCCAACCTTATAGAATCGACATTCTTCTCACCCGAGCTTAATAAACACATTCTATATATTGGATTAGTTGCAATGGTAACTGATAAAAGGAAAAGAAAGAAAAAATCATGGTTGTGCAATTTTATATTGAGGTAACTGAGTCGTCATCGCTGCCTCCACTATCACTGCTGCTACTGCTCCCACTACCACTATCACTGCTGCTTCCACTGTCACTGCTACTGCTAGAACTAGATGTTTCTTCACCCTTCCCCTGTGCATTCACTTGGGCTCTGAGAGCTTCAGCAGCATTGGGTCCTTTGTTCACCTCGTCACCACTATCATCCACATCAGCGATCTCATCATCAGTGATTGGAACATTCATGTCAAATCCAACATTATCCTTTTCTTCAACATTATTGTCATCATCAGGTGTTCCACTTCCAAAAAGGTCATCAATGTCTATATCTCTATGTTCCTCAACTTCATCTATGGCCGCTGGTGAGGCGGCAGAAACTGTGGGCGGTTCATTTAGTTGATCATATGACCTCTTAGAATCAGACTTGATGCCTGCATTACGATGCATATAATATTAAAGTAATTTTAGTTCAGCAAATGCATAGCAAAGTCACTGCAAACTATTTCATCAATTGTGAAAGCATCACTTCTGAAAACAACAAAAAGCGCACATCCTGCAAAATATCTGGGGTATGTGCATAGAACTGTATAGAAGATACCGTAGACATTTTGGAAGATGCAACAAAAGGAGGGTGAAAACTATGATGTTGGAAAGAATGCATGAGATATATTTACACAACAGCGGATATGATAATACAAATTAATTCCTCGCAAATGTAATTTAATAGTCTATACTTGGCAACATCAAGTTACCTCAAAATGAAAAGTTTAGTATATCCTACCTGCATCTGATTGAAGGAAAAGGTTGCAAAGTGGGAAACAGAAATGCAACCGAAAAAGGACAAAATAGAAAGTAATACAGACGGAAAAAAAAACATTTGTCGTCGCGAATATCTCACAAGTCATCAGAAAATCAATTAATCAAGGAAATCTACATAGTTCAAATATTTCACTATAGAAACCCTGTAATCATATCATACTTACCAGTATTTACAGGTTCACCAATATCAATACGTTCCACTTCAACCTGTGAAGAATAAATGTAAATGTAAGGAAAAAAGGTAAGAAAAGCGATAAGAAGGACAAGGAATGATTCGTTTCCTTCCCTTCTGTCGCCAAATAATTAACAGCTCAGCCAATACACCAACCTCAAAAATACAAATTCACCGGTTTCAAGTCATTTTATAATCCACTTTCTTTTCCTCAATTATGGAACATATAAAAAACAAAACAAAAAATAATAATAATAAAAACAAGTGTTGAGTAATTCAAGGGTGCAAATATCTGCCTAAGCATCAAGTGTTGAGTAATTCAAGGGTGCAAATATCTGCCTAAGCATTAAGTGAGAAGTAGCCGAGTGACTTGTATGTTATGTACGTTTGTACGTATGTAAACAATCAAATTAACATTGCCCCTCTTGAAAATCTTAATATATTAAATAAAATAACCATATAAAGGAAAGTATCCTACAGCATACATTTTTATGATGTAATGAACTAGACTACTAAACTAACAACTATGCTAAAAGTATTTGATAAGCACTTACTGCAACAGCTTGATTCGAGCTCCTGGCACTGCCAAAAGGTGCTGATTTCGTGTTCTTCCCAATGGGGGGTGACCAAGGATCCAAAGCTGTTCCCGACACAGCAGCTGAAGACTCACCAGGCATTCGAAGGTGGCGCAGTTGCTTTACAGCCCTATCAAGCCGCTCCAAACGAAGTGTACGACCATCAAAGAACAAGACAGCATCGTTTTCCTTGTATTCCTCGATATTTCCCTCAAATGTGACCTTAGGTTTTCCAACTTGGTTGTTCTGAAACTCCACAGAGACTCGATTCTCTTTGCTCTTGCGTAGCAATCCTGGCTTAGTCTTATCAACTGAAGCTGGCTTAAATTCATCTATAAAAAATTCAACACATAAAATAAATAAATAAAATTAAAAATACCAAACAGAATAGTATTAGGTAATATGTTGGGAAGACTTACATCGGAGAGTGCAGTATTTGTTAGCAGAGTCGTCTTTAAAAGAAGGTCCTAGTGTGAGATTGTACCATGTATCAGGCTTAGGAGCAGTGTTAGGTTCTTCTTTAGATTTGTTAGCCATTGTGGAAGAAAGTAAAGTTCAGGAACCTTACACAATCTGTTTCAAAATGAATTTTTATTCAATTCCTTTAATTGAAAAAGAAATGAACAGAACATATTGTAACCCTAAGCTTCAGTTATATTTTCAATCTCTAAATTAAACACCATAATCAGCATACAACAAAACCTAATAACCACATATTGACTATCAAAATTGTTACCAACATCAGCACCACCAGAAGAATGTAAACTCTGTTTGCAATTGCATTAAGTGCAGAAGAAATTTACAATTTAGCAAAATGATGATTGATAAAAGGATTGTTGGAGGAGCTTAATGTGAAATTAGGTTTTGTTTAAAGGGGAAATTTACAATTTAGTAACGATGATTGATAAGAAAACCTGAACGGATTTTTAACTGTTCCGGCGCCGATGAAAAAATCCGGCTGCGTTTGCCGGGCGATTGAGTTCAGTAATCCGACTCCAAATGATCATCGATCATCGATGATCAAATTGTTTAAATTATTTCTTAAATTGTGTTTAGAATAATGATGAGCTACTTGAAAACCTAATGCAATAATAGTTTCAGAAAAAAATTTGATGGAACAAATCTATATTTTTATTTTTAGAAACAATAATAAAAAGAGAAAAAAAATTTAATTTATTTAAAATTTAATTTTTTAATTAAAACTAAATGTTATATTTTTGTCTATTTAGATTTTTTTCTAATAGTTTTTAGTTAATATGGAGCGTAACCGTAATTCTTAATAGTAATCTTTCGTCCCATAAAATTGTTTAATTTGCATTTCTTTTCAAAATAATTGACTTATGATACCAATCATCATTTATTAATATTATTTTTTCACTGCTATATTTGTAATATTTATTAAATAAAATTCAACTTCTTTTTATTAAGTACGATTAATAAGATATTCTATTAAATAATATTAATATTATTATTAAAATCAATCAATCTAATCAGTTTTTTAAAATGATACATTACTCAAAAAAATTTTATAAAATCGAAAGAGTAATTCAAAACTTAGGTAGGAGTAAAAAAGAAACTTATTTTTTATTGAATAAATTTTTTTCCTTTTTTAGTAAGGGGTTTGTTATTTAAATTTAGGTTTAAGTTCATTTTTAATTTTTGATGATTTTTTATTTTTTAGTTCTTTCATTTAGAAATATAAATTTTTAATGAGTTGGCAATTACGACGATAATAATTTTTTATTTTTTATTTTTTATTTAATAAAATAATTTGTTTAATTATATATCTATATAAATATATTTTAAAATTATTTAATACAAATTTTAAAATATTTATTTGGGAGATTAAGGCCTATTTTTTTGTAAATTTTCTCGAACCCATAAGTTGACACTATATACTATATAGTGTATGTGAATACTGTATAAACACTTAAGGTAAGTGTTTGAAAAATGATGTGAGATTTGTTTTCTCAATTTTGAAGTGCACAATCATATTCTTCAATCTCTTTCCCTTTTTACATTGTCATCTTGAACCTTGTTGCACCATTATCTTTCTCAATCTCTTCTTTGAAATCAACACCGAAATCATCATTACAATATATATAATCAATAATTTCTTATTGATATTTTCAAGCACTCTGAGAGACTTAATTTCAATCTTTATACAACTTCTTTCAGTAACAATATCAGCTCCAAGAAGTGTCTCTTGTACCCAATTTTTTCAAACTTTCCATCTCTTTTGTGTTAGAATTAATTCAAATCTTGGTCAAAAAGAATTGATCTTTCTAATTGATCGCGCCTCTTGTTCTTCACTTTTTGCTTGAATGAACCAACCACACCTTGGTTGCAAGACAATAAGGGTTAAATATATTTTTCTATTTAATTTTTCAATAAGGGCTCAAATATTACAAGTGAATACCAACAATTAATATCACTCAACAACCTAAGAGAACTAGTCTATTTATAGACTACTAAGCCAACTTATGCTATAAGCTAAATTAACAATTGGGCTTAGAAGCAAAGCTCAATTCAACATACTAACTTAAATTACAAGTTAATATATTTTCTCATTATGCTCGAACAGACTTTGACTACATGATCGTCTGCTACTGACAGATAAATCTGCAAGCATACAGCTGATCGTGTAGTCTTAAAAAGGTTGTCAAACCCACAGGGAAAGATAATAAAACTAATGTTATCTATGGTTGTTGTACAAATCAAAGGCTTGAGTTAAATAGAAAATAATGCTAATTACGAGGCTGAAATCAAAAATCTAAGAATAATATTAAAACGAGTCTGAAATATGATTTCCGCACACCTAAGGGAGCTTGTAGATAAAGGGTACTAATTGCATCTATACGCCTATTTCGTAGGATATACCGACTTAAAGGCTCTGCCTCACGCTCTCGCGGTCTTAACTAAGTTGTACTTCTTAATCCCAAGATTTTGCTCTCACTCACCCAATAACTAAGAATTACTCTTTGAAAGTCGATAGTATCTTAATCAACATCTAAAACACTCTCGCTGTATTTAGATATTGATGCCTAATTTCTACTATCCGGTTCATTCCTCACGCTCTCGCAAATCTCAGCTTAAACCTTTATTTACTTCTCACTCTCGTGACGAAACAATGTTAAATAACCTCTCACTCTCGTGACAAAGCTACTTAAATTAGACTTAGAGATTACAATCGAAATGGCATGCATTACAATTTCTTACCTATTATAACTATGGAGTCCCGCCGGTTACGACGGTCCTCACAAAACCAACTAGTTGTGTTACATAAACCTCTTCATCTAGATGGTCATTCAGGAATGCACATTTCACACCCATCTGACACATGGACCAATTATTCATGTTTGCTAGACCAATGATAAACCAAATTTTTTTGATCATAACAATTGGTGCAAAAACATCATCATAGTCAATTCCTCCTTTGTGAAGAAATCCCTTTGCTTCAAGTCTTGCCTTGTGACTGGTTACTTATCCCTTTGGATTCAACTTCACCTTGTACACCCATTTCACATTAATTTCCTTTTTACCTTATGGCAATTCAACTAGTGATTAGTCTTTATTATCTTCTATGAATTTTAACTCCTGCACCATATCATGCATCCATTTTAAGTCTTTCAATTCCTCAACTATACTGACTGGCTCAGTATCTGCATAGAATTCATAACATACTAGATCAACTTCATCATCTACCATATCATCTAATGTGATCACACATTCTTGCAACCTCACATGCATGTTTCTTGTTCTTTGAGGCCTGCTTATGACTTCTTGACCTTTGATTTCTTCTTGTCGAACTTCTTCGTCAGCTTCACTAGTTGGTTCATCGCATAGGATTCTCACTGAGTCCTTCTTTATGTTTTCAGTATGTTTGCTGAAATTTTGACACTTAGAAGTATTTGAAATAAGCTAGTAGAGCTAAATGAGATATTCTGGAAAAGAATATATTGATTTCGATGAAAAACTTGTGAAGGCATAGTCGAAAAAGACCCTTTACATAGAGGAAGATTTTGGTCTGGGACTTAGAAATATTCTTGGGTTCAAACTTAAGTTCGACGAAGATATTCATTTGAAGTTGCATTCGACGAGTGTAATTCAAAATAAGGCTAATAACCATTTTTAGCCTTATCAATTTCTTGAGAAGACACGTGGAAAGCTATAAGTAGCAAAGTCCATGCAATCGAGGACCTATCATATTCTGGAGAAGAGATCGTTTGTTATCGTTATTTTCGATTTATTATAAATGGAGATCTTAATTATTAGGATTCGTGTGTTCCATTTTGTACAAAAACTCAAATATTACTCAAAGTATATGTGTTGTTGAGAAACGAGTTCCGGAGTGCAATGTACGTGTGATCACCATTTTTACACTTTTTATATTAAATCATTTAAGATTTTTTTATTTACATTCGTTGTAAATTTACTTTGAAGTTATTTACATTGCTATTTACATTTTTGTATTTCTTTACAAACTTTAACATTACTTTCAACGAAAGGAACATTGTCAAAATGTTCATAAGTGATAAAACTTGAAGAAAAACAAAAGCACGTGTCCTAGGATCAATGCGAGTAACTGAAAATATAGAATTTGGAAGACTAGCGCTTGTTTACCAATTTTGACGGTAAACAAATTGGCACGCCTAGTGGGACCAGTGCTTTTTCCTAATTTCTGAAAATATATAGAAGTTCTTCATTTGTGGTTTCTCTAACTTCGTTGCATGAGATTAAGAAGTGGTAAAATATCCACTAATAGCGAAGTAATACCAAGAAAGAGATACATAAGAAGGATGGTGAATCCGTCAAATAACAATGGAGAACAGCCCCCTCTTTCGACAAGGGATACTACGGCCGCAACATCTGTGTCCGAAGCAAAATTTTTATTTTTTTCCTAAAGATTCTATCAAATAGAAATAGATAACAAAGTAACTAGAAAAAAAAGAGATTGTTCAAATACTCCTTTTCTATAGGGATCATCTAAAAAGTAACGTGAATTTTATTCATACCGAAAGGCTGTCATAGATGTTATGGGTCTTTTTTTTTCTTCATGTATTCTATCTATCTCTTAAATTATTCTGTAAAGGAGCTTAGTCAAACAAAAGTTTCATGTTCAGTTTTGAATTAGAGACGTTCATTCATTAACGTCGACTATAACCCTTAGCCTTTAAATCTAATGATGCGGGTTCGATTCCCGCTACCCACTTATATTCTATTTCTCTATATATTCTATTTTTTATTTAGTAAATTTCTTTAGTTAATTTTAGTTACGAATATTCTTTCGTCCGTAGCGAGTACAACGACCATATCATCGAGCACTCGGAGTGGACCAGTTTTATCTCCTATGAGGATGAATGTTCAACCACTGACCCCTCCTCCAGTGGGAACTAGTACATTCAAGCGTTATGTGCCTGGATTTACAATGCCTTTGAATGGTCGCGAACAGCCATATGACATGCCAATTTTGATTATGGCAAATTTTCACAATGCGATGTCAACATTCAATAACCGCCTGGTGAACATGTTTTAGC